GCATTTGCATTTAAAAGCCTAAAGTTGACAAGAATTTTGTTCAGCAGCCTTGTGATGAGGACAAAATACTGATTACCTTCGTGAACCTTAGTAGCAGAAAAACATATTCTTTGATATTTTTAGTATACTTATTAAAGTACTTTTAGGTTAGCCCTTTCATATTATTATCTTCTTTTTATTCTTGTATATTGCACTTTCCTGTGGTTGAAAATAATAATATATGTTTCTGAAATAGGCTATACTGATAAGAAATATTAAGCCAATGAGCTTATTAAGTTTTTTTTCTTATTCATAGTATGTATAGTTTCACTTTTTTATTCAGTAAGTACCTGTATGTTTAAAGTTAGATCAGTAGACCTGTTGGATTCTACTAGCGCTTACATATTTTACCAATTTATCCAGCTGGGTCTCAGCATTCCATATGTTGTGAATGAGAGAATAGACTAATGGAGTCTCATTGCTGAGAAGACTGGGAAGATTTTCCTGGTATTTATCCAAAGTTTCCTATTTTTCTGATACAATTTAATGTGTCTCTTCTATATTCCATGGGCTATCCTGTTTAAAAACAAAACAAAAAACACAAAACCAAACAAAAAACCACAACCAAACAAACCAAAGCAAGCAAAAACACCGACAAAAACCAAAGCCTTATTCTCAAATTAGTCGTTTTCCAAAAAACAAGCAAAAACACCGACAAAAAACAAAGCCTTATTCTCAAATTAGTCGTTTTCCAACCCATTCTGGAGAAACGTACTAGTTTAGTCATCAAATGGATAAATAACAAATGGATCGAATTCGCTAAGAATGAAACTTACTTCGACTTCTCACATCTTTTCTTACACTTTCTGATTTATTGCAGGTAAATGAAATTGCATTTATAAACACCTTAGAAGCTCAGAACAAACGCCATGATGTGCTGAATAAACTAAAAGAGTATGAACAGCGCTTAAACGAATTGCAAGAAAAAAAAAGACAGGAGGAAAAACAAGCACGTGATGAAGCAGTTCAGGTATAATGTATATGTAGTTACAGGGGGACAGTGGAATTTGTATTTGTTTTTCATTTTGGCTGTGCAGTTTTTGTTGCTTTCTATCTGCCTCCTGTGTTCAACTTAAGAAAAGTATACTCTAATGTTTCTCCTTTAAAATGTTTTAGCAGTCAGAGGGAGAAAGGTAAGTCTGAAAGCCTCTATAGCAGAAATATTGCAGATGCTGGGTACATGGTTCATGCCTGTCTTAAGCTTTTTTTTCAAAAAGTATTTGTTATTCTGTTATAAGAAAATCCTTTTGTTAAAACTTAGAGAGAGAGGTAAACAGAAAAATATTCCTTACCATATGCCAATTGTCATAATTAAAATATTTTTTACACGATCAGTGAAAAACACAATACAAATGCGTTTGTGTTCCTGGAATCCTGGTGTGGGTTTTTTGTTTGTTCGTTTGGTTTTTTTTGTTTGTTTGTTTTGTTGTTTTTTCCCCAATACAGCATTCCAATACTAAGTTTTCCCAGCCTGATACATTCACTTTTTTGGCACTGTTCTCTATGTTAGAACCTAAACCATAAGTTTTCTTCTTATGTAAACTCCTTCTCACTCTCTTTGCGTACCTCAGATCACAACTGTACATCACCTGTGAATCCAGGTTCTGCCAGAGCTGAGTAGTTAGCATTAGCAGCTGGTGCTATCTCCTTCTTGAAAAATGGGACACGTTGCTGACTTTAGTGGCTCAGAAGCCATTTTTGAGACAGAAGGTGCTCCCAAAGTGTTGAATAAAACTCTTTTTGAGAGAATATGTTATTAAAAGTTTCTGGATTTCCAAGGGATAATTGTGTTATCAGTGAAAAGTACCCTTCCAGACCGTTTATGAAAAACCTGATCTCGGTGATCCTGTTCTTCAGTGTTACTCATTCTCCCTTATTCTAGAATGCAGCTTTCCTGGAGTCGTTTTGTGGGATTTTGGCTGTTTTTAACTTTCTTGTCTATACCATTTTTTTTCAGTCCTTTCCTGGGTTGTGTAGGCATTAGGCTGTTCTTAGGGTGTAGCTGAACTAGAACAAACACTGCAGACAGGCTTTCAGTACTAAATCCCACTTAGGACTACACTGTTCTTTCTGTATCCTTTCTGCCAGACCAAGGATCAAGCTGATGCTTCCTGCTATGCTTTTTCCGTGCACAAGTTGCTTAACAGTTGAGTAAAGCCCTGCTTTGAGGTATGCTGTAGCTTCCCCTGCAGTCCTCTATAAAACAGTGTGTATTCCCCTCAAAAGGGAGCTTTTCCTGCACTGTTCTGGAGCTGGACCTACTTGCAGTAATAGTAACTCTTTTAGTGGTTGGTATAACTACAAACAAATAATTCCACTTCGGTGAACTGAAATGAATTGTGAGAGTTCTGGCCTGTAAGTGCGAATTTAACTTCATGCAAAAGGTCCTCAAACACTGGATGAAACAACACTTCTAAACATAACTACTTTACGTTTACTGTAACAGTGATGGACTTTTGCTATACATGGAATTATGTAATTTAAAATCACAAGGATTCTAAAAATGGTATCAAATTTCCGTATCTATGAAAACTGGGCTGCTCCTGTTTATCTACCTGAACAATGTCTTTGTCAACCTCAAGTATTTCTCATATGCATTTAATAAAATCTACTTGCTTCTTCCTGACACCAAATCCTACAGATTCACCTTTAAACCCATCTTTCCATCAAGCTTATTTTAACTTTTTAATTCCAAGATCTACTAAAGATTTTTTTTCAACTTGCTTTTCCATTTAGTAGCACTGGTACCTAATTCAAAATGTGCAGGCTGTGCTGGTGCACTCTCAAATGCAGCCTTAGAGGCCTTTGTAAGGAATGTCCAGCAGGACTAGTGTTTATTTTTATGATGCACTGGGTGTGTTCTGTAAAACAGTTTGCATTCTTGTTGATTTGATGGTACGGTTGTAGTAAAGTATGCCATATCTTGTTTTATTTATTTTATGAAGAAGGAAATTAATGTGTTCATGCAAGGCTGTTAATGAAACTTTGTGCAGGAAAGAATATGGTTACTGTGAAAGCCACAGTTTTGATTGTCCATGACCAAGCTATATTGTCTGTGGAGATGAAGACACTGCACTTAACATCATATTCACCAATATAAAATGCTGTGCATGAAACAAAAATAGTTCATTTATTTTTGTAGTTCTTCATTTCTTGAATAAAGTATAAGGTTAATGTTTTCTGCTTTTAATATGTCTAAATCTTTGTAAAGCCAGTATTTAAGAATGCAAGGCCCTCATCTAACCATGTAAAAATGTTCATCATTCCAGCAAGTTTTGGTTTGTGCTAATGAAGTCTCATACTGTCTCCTAAAAGGAAGATCATTTATTTACCAGCATAGTAATGTGTGTTTACAGTGCTGGAGTTCGTGGCAAGGAGTCTATTAAAAAAATTATTTAAATACCTATTTTTCATTTGTTCTGTCATGCATAACAGACTATTTTTTCCTAAGATAAGTATTTGGAGAAGACATTAAAAATCCAGTTCTCTCTAGACTTCAAGTTAAACCAAATAATCATATTTCCTCTTAGAAGCCTCATTAGCTTAATGTGTACTAATAAATGTCTTATTTAAATATGAGGTTTCAAACATGCTTTATTTTTACATTTGTTGCTGATACAAGTGTAGCCATTCTGAAAGAAAGGTTTTTACAATACCATGTATAGTTTCTTAGTCAGAAAAAAGGAAAAAATAAGTAGGGAGAGAGAAATCATATATTCAGTGCAAAAATTAATTGTCAAAATCTGTTTTGTTTTATAACATCATTTAGGTGGTTTCAGAATCATAATTTAAATATTCATATTCCATGGGAGCTTATGTTATTTCTAAATCACCTCTATCCTGTAGGATGTTTAAAATGTTTTCAAAATAAATTTTTCATTAATGAACTAGTTTTATGAGCTTTTACAGTGGATGGACTTTTTTGAGATGAACAAAATATATGGCCAATTAATGCCTAACTTAGTTCGTACAACTGTGCTTTCAGTGTGTGTTCAAGCTTCTGAATATACTCGTATTTTCATAGTATTCCTTCAATAAAAACACAGTTCTCATTCCATCATGAAAGATAAAATTCTATAAGCAGATGTTAAAATGCAGTTTCCGTTAATTCCTTTTTGTTTTTTCCTAAAAGAAAAGTTAGAATGTACTTTTCTGTGACTAGGAGCGGAAAAGAGCCCTAGAGGCGGAACGACAAGCCCGAGTTGAGGAGCTGCTGATGAAGAGGAAAGAACAAGAAGCGCGGATTGAGCAGCAGAGGCAGGAGAAGGAAAAAGCACGGGAAGATGCTGCACGGGAGAGGGCCAGGTAACTGTGCAATAATTTCCTTGGTTCCCTGCCTTGCACCCTTTTCCTTTCCAGCAAACTACAACTTCTTTATAGCAACAACAGTCCCTTCTTAGCTCTTCAGGCTTAGCGTTGTAAAAAGTATCATTAATAAGTATTTTTGATGAATGGTTTGAAAGAAGAAATCAGGTGAGCAATCACAAATTCTGTATTAGATTTTTGTATTCCTTAGATACATGCACAATATAACATGCAAAGCCGTATTTTATTATATTCATCTTAGTTTTATTGCTAACAAGACCTTTTAATAATTTGCCTTTTTCATATTTTAGCTTAGTTTTCAGAGAAAGCAAGATTAATGTCCCTGTGTTGCCCATTTCCCCCCCACTCCAGTAACTTCTGGACTTATTGGCATCAATTTGAGTTCACCTTTTTGTAGACACCAGAGATAACATTTGTGAAGCACAAAGCTGGGAAATCAGGCTTCGTTAATCTGCTGCCTACGAACTACTTGTTTCATGTTTTTGCCCATAATCAGAAGTTCATAGAGGGGTTTTCATATGGGCTCTGCTCTCTTCCTGTTGAGCCAAGCTTGAGGTGCAGAGAACGAATATTGGGTGGCATTGCGGTGTGTGGCAAAGGTTTACTTTCAAGTCTCATTCAGAAAAGCTGCTTTCTGCTTATTGTTTAATTTGCCAAATGCTGTTTGTATACACCTCCTATT